TTTAAAAAATAATGCAGCCAAAATACATTAACATTGCTATTATTTTTTGCATGAACATTAACAGGTAGTTGTTCAGAAACGGCCTAACATATCCCCTTCAAAACCTTCTCTTCCCAAAAAACCACCCCCCTCAAAATCCTCTTTCCGTCCACCAAAACATATACATTTCCAGGATGTTCCTTATGATAACCCTCATCCTCCTCTGCGAACAGTCGTTGTGGAACGACCAAAACCTATTCAAGTAGAAATGATGCCTTATGTTACCAAAGTGAACACATTGCCAGCCGACCAGTTTTATGTTCCAGACTTCACAGATGTTGAAAGTAGCTCATCCTTGGACACTACACAGTCCCTAGAACCACCTCCCGTAAATTATTCCACACACCCATCCACTCCTCACTGGTTGGAAATATATAATGATACCCCGTCACTTTTGACATATTACAATGCAGTTAATCCCTGTGAGGTACGATCTTCTTTATACTGTGTAGAAATTATTTATCTGTATCTTATACTTTATAATAGTAATTATAGCTTTTAGAATTATTTTATGAAGCTCTATATTTTTAACATAGTTTAATATACATAAATAATAAATTTAGTTAGTAGGTGTGAGACTAATTTATATTACAATGTAATGTTTATAACATGTGATATTTTTAGCAAAATGCTGGTGGTCCCAAAGCTTCAGTTAGTGATAAAAAAAAGTTTTTTGAAAAAGCTATGGAAGAACACCACAATCCTAGTCCAAAACCTGGTTAGTAGATTCAATTTTGATCACTTGAATAACAATGTAATTTATGCCTTATTGCTTTATGATTATGTGTTATAGAAAGAGTATTTAGTTTCCTAAGCCAGGACGAAGTAGAAAAAATGAAACAAGAAGAAGGTATTTAATTACGTCTAAGAATACATTGTTAATAGAGGTGGGTCGAAATAATTGATGTTAGAAAAATCAAACCTAACTGAACTCCAACAAAAAGTTTGAAACTCCAAAAAAATTGGATCATGAATGATGTGCAAAAAGTGATTGTTCTTTTGGGAAGATTATAAAAAGTTTAATTAAAATGTTGTTTGAATTTAAATCAGTATTAAAAAAAATGTTTGGTATTGGTTTGGTTTGATGTTGAACATATTTTTCGGTTTGAGTTCGGCCTACTTCTAATTATTAACATACAATTGTTTTTAATATTTTGTTGATTTAAACACTATAAATAATTTATAGAGCAAAAAATGGGAACATTAATGAAGCAAAGGTTAAATCAACATGAACAATTTATTGAAGAAGGTGATGATGACGATGATGAAGATGATAATGATGGTGGTGCTTTGATTTTTGAAAACACACAGTAAGCTAATTAAATATTGTTTATTATTGAAAGAAATTTACTATGATTTATATTTTAGAAGTATTGAGATGCCAAGAAATGGCAATACTAACAAGTGTGTACGAACAGCTAAAGCTGAGAAGCGTATGAAAGAAAGACTAAATCAAGAGGTATAGTTAATAAAGATTTTTTTTAAATGGGTCTTATAGATTTGAATATAATTATAATATACCTATTTGTATTTTTAAAGGGGATTGTATCCAATGAAAACAACAAAGAGCTTTCTCCTTCTGAACAACGTTCACTTAATGCTGAAAAAAAAGCTGCATGGCGACAAGCCCGATTAAAGTCTTTAGAACAAGTAATATATTATATGCTTAAATCACTAAATATTTACTATTTTTAAATATTATTTGTATTATATAAGGACGCTTTACAAGCACAAATAGTAATAAAAGAACTGAGCGAGATAAGCGAAAATAAATCAACAAATGGTGGTGATGCTGATAGTGACGAAATGCCAGACACTCAATCAAAAGAATGTATAGAAAACAAAGCACTGGAGGTAATTAATTTAAAAAAAAAATAGAACATAATATAATGATAAGACATTATAACTCATCTCATTGCTTTTTAATTTTTTTCTAACATTGAGCTTCATGATTTACCCAATCAAAAGGAGATTCATAATGTTATTATTTTTAATTTATATTATAATATAATATAATACAATGTCAACTTCATGCAATAGTGATCAAGTAAAAATTATTATGGCTTTATTTTTGGATATTTGAAATTTATATTATTATTTCACTTAGTCTAAATCACAACATAATTGACAATGTGACCAAAGAGTGACCGAGTGAAAAAAAAAACAAAAATTACGATGTTATATAAAATTTAAACCAAAAATATATACATATATATATTTATACTTGATCATTTTTTGCACAATGATGACAATTTATAACCCATTTGTTTATGGCATAATATTATTAACTGCTGTTTTATTATTTTTTAACTTAAAAAATTAAATAGCTTGTTATTTTTTTTTTTTTAATAATTTGTATTAATTCATAATGTTTTTTATTTATTTTTATTCAAATAAACAACTGTTACTATTTACTATTTACTATTTAGCATGTATTTTAATATGTATACATAATAATAAACCCTAATAAACATACATAATATTAATATCAAAACTAATTGGCCTTTGGTGGCGGCTATAATTAGTGCTTGCGGCCGACCAGCGAGGACTTTCCTCGCCTGCGCCTGCGCGAGTCCCCTGTCCAGACCAAGGTGTCGGAACGCGAGACAGTCGTCGGCGAGAGTGTTTCTCTGCGGACAGAGCAGTATGTTGACCACATTTCCGGTCAGCTGAAAGTCAGGACTGTCGAAATTATTGAAAAAGTCATTGAGAAAGAGGTACCTAAATACCGTACACAATCAAGTACCTTGAACCCACCTCGTTTCTGAATTTCGCACCAATTTTCTGTCTCTGTACCTACACAATTGAATTCTTATTTACTATTTTATACATTTGTATATTACTTAGTACATACCTTATATAGCATGCTGCATGGTTGACATTAAAGACACGAGTCAAACAAGTCAAAACAATAACACGTCTTTTTATAAAGTCAATATTTTTTATTCCACACAGTATTTTTGCATGTAAGTAGTGTAGTCATCGAAAAAGAAAATCACGAATATTGATAGTATATTATGTAATAATAGATAATGTTGTTGTTTCTTAGACATAATAGTGGCAATAATAGTGGTTTGTTAATGTGTGTCGACTATTTTTGTATACGTTAAGGTGGAGACGACTAAAGAAAAAATTGTATCTCTCGAGTTGAGTACTCCTGAGTCTGAAGTACCAGAAACACCAATTGAAGAGGCTGCTGAAGAAGAAGATATATCATTAGAGAAGAAACAGTCCAATCCGTCTGGAAAGAAGAGACGCCGAAAGCGTACTAAGTCTACAGATAAACAAACGTCGTAGTAATAATCATAAATAAAAAAAAAATAATAATAATATTTTATAAAGCGGTAGCAGCTAATCTTTAATTATATATATTTACTTATATATTGAATCATCATCCCTCATTCCTATTATATATTTTATAGTATTACTAGGCGTAACAAATTGTGATCACTATTAATTATTATTATTATATAAATATATATATTTTTTTTCCATTCTTATATTATATTCGAATAACAAAAAACCACCTACATTTCATTATGGACCAATTTTTTTACATTTACTATAATTTAAGCTGTTTAGTGATGAAAATTCCAGTTTGTTTTTAACTGTTGGCGCGCCTTGTTGTTGTCTAGTATCGACCAATTGTTTGTAATAAAACTTTTATTTTTTTATATAACATTTATGAACGAATAAATAAGACAGTATTTGTAACTTTTAAGGAAGAAACTTACGATAAACTATTATTATTTATTATATTATATAACAGTATTTTTAATTGAAAGACCTAATAATTTTGTAATTATTATATAATATCTTTATAAATTAAAATAATTTAATAATATATAATATACCGACCGTATTTGTTGTTACTCAATTTTTATGGGATTTATAGTATAATATATTCCTTGAATGCGTACTACGTATAACATATTATGTAATATGTATGCGTTTTTCTCAGTTAGCACTAGTCATTGGCTAGGCTGCTGCTGCTGCTGCTGCGGATGAAATCTAGTCGCACCTATGGGCCTACCCTAACATTTTTTTTATATTTATGCGAGGTAATGAGATAACTGGTTTGAATTAAAAATATTTTAATGCAACAACCTATCTTTGTTTTTTTAATTTTACACTACATTGCAGCATTATATTATAATATATAATACATTAGTTGGGGGACGAGGTGGCCGAGCGGTCAACGCGTCGGCTGCCGGTTCGGGTTCGATCCTCAACCACTGGGCGGCATTTTTCTCCGGGCAAGTCACGGTGTCCGTAGAACAAGTGCCGCCATCCCCCACTCCGGGGCTTGGCAGAAACCTACGGGTGCCCAATTCGAAATTCTGCCAAAACACAAACACTCACGTGTAAACCCCCTCCAACAAAAAACCCTACCATCACCACCTTACAACCTACTAACAGCTAATGGCCATAGATGCCGGGCTTAAGGATCAATAAAAAAATAATAATAATAATAATAATACATTAATTTAATCTGTAAATATGTAACCAATTATGGCAACCATTTAAATAATTAAAAATATATTCATTTTTGTGAGCTGAAAAAAAATTGTTTGTATAAGAACCTTTTTTTAATGATTGATTTTACTTCTGTTAGATCTGAGTATTGGGTTTATTTTTATAAATTATGAATGTCTTATAGAATAATTTAATAATGTCATATATTGGCATAGACGGAATAACAATGGTGGGGCTGAGGGGCTTTGCTAAACTAATGATTTCACTACTATAATTTAAAAGCTTGAGTTTACAATCAAATCTTCATTGGATAAATAGGTACAATAAGAAAAACTATAAACTAAGTACAAAAGAAATTTTTAATTTTATATTAAATTTTAAAACAGACAAAGTTTACAAGAGAAACTTTTCAAAAATATAAAGGAACATTTTTTTTTTTAACAATATATCACTTAGAGAGAATAAAATAAATTTAGAAATAAAACTTACATTAAATTACGATTATAACTTCCACGTCTCCGCCTGGCCTAAAAAAAAAAAAATTAACGGTTTGTAAAATATTAATAGAATTTAAACATCAAATAAGTTGAATTGATTCGTCAAAACTTGCAATTATATTCAATGCTCGATAGCTTAATGACTTACAAATGGCAGAGTGTAAGAAACTGTCCTTATTTCCTTCAGTAACTTCCATCGGTAAATCCATATTAATGGTAATAATACTAAGACCATTAGTACTATAACTAAAAAAAAAAATGTAGGTAGAACACTATATTATACATGTCATTATTACTAATAAGTGTTATTATTTGCATAATTGTTTGTTTTTAATAAATAATGAATATACTTTTAGTATTCAAATTCTAAAGTAAATAGTGATAATGAGTTTGATTGAAGTAAACTCTATTTTTTAATATTCACACACAGTTTAAAAAAATGGAAATATTACCTCCACAAAATATTTAATTTTAATACCCACCAATTAAGTCGGTACTAAGGACATTTGACATGTTTAAATTATTATGGAAAACGTTAGGTGGTTTATTTTAATAAGTTTATATTTATTAAGCTAAAATATTCAGAGTTATCTGTGGGAAATTGATGTCCAAGAAGATTATTTCCTGGACCTAAAATAAGTATCTGCATACCATAATTGTTTTGTTTTTTTTTTTATTGGAATTTGGATAATTTATTAGATATTGAAAAATAATAATAAAAATCTTTATTAATAAAAGAGCCAATAGGTATTACCTGTATAAAATGAAGTACCAGAAACTTCTTTTTTCTTAATTATTGATAAATCAGTAAAATTATCAGAAGTCACATCTTTACCTAAATAATTTATTCAACAGTTATTTTTCATATAAAATTTATCAATGATGATATTACCATAGAACTGTTGTAGAGTTGTATTATAGTTTTCAATAAGTGTCACAGATTCTTCAATTTGCTCTGTAACCGATAAGTACGTTTCTTCTATTTTAGTAAGTTCAATATTAGTTTCAATTGATTTGTTATTCTCGGAACCCTTAGATGGCTGATTTTCCACAGTTTTTGTGGTTGATATAGAAATTGATTGATACGTCTTACACATTTCTTCATATGTGTGATCATTAAAATCCATACAACACACACATTTAGAATATGTAGAGATTCTTACTCCGTTCTAAAAAAAAAAGGTCCACTTTTATTTTAATTTATTAGAAATAAAATTAACAATTAAACAATATGTCTTAGAAATTCTAAGTATCCAAACTTAAAGTTGAGGTATTTAAAATCCCTATACATTTTATTAATATTGGCATCTTTAAGAGAAAAAAACTATTCAAAGGGATATTAAGGATATACTCTGCATACTCTATGTGCATGCTTTTAGTAAGTTTATACAACCATCTGAGACGACAGTATTAGAAAATATGGGTTATTGGACATGGTAAACTAACATTTGTTGAAATAACTTGAAATGTTGATAATTTTTCTGTTGATTTGGTACATGCAACAATAATTTCTACATTTGTGAAATCTAAAACAAACATTTTTTAAATATATATTTCCATTTTCATTGAATAAGGTAGTTCTGAACATAAATGTATTTACAATTATCATTTGTATTTTGAAAATTAGCAATTAATTGTTTCTTAATTATATCATATCCAAGATTCATATTTCCAAAAAATTTCGATCCATTTAAACTGACAGATCCATTGCAGAAGTCAATTTGGTAATTTGTTTTTGTTGAATCATCAACTAACTAAAAATAAAACATTCATTCAATTAAACATAAACATTGCAGCACACCATTTATTTTCTCTTTGTGGACGACAAGAACCATAGCAAATTTACTTTTAATAGAAGCAACTTTGTGTTGTAAGCTTTAGTATAAGAATGGTAAATTTATTGATCTATCATCAAACTTTAGTAGAACATTATCTGTGTTTGTACATTTACTTTTTTAAAATTTCAATTTTTTAGCGTGATTGAGCATCTATAAAAATGTAATAAAAATTGAAATATCGTAAAAAATCCAACGTAAATAGAAAATGTGTAAAATAATTAACAAGATTTTATTCTTAATATTCAGTTTGATAAAAGATCAATGCACTCTAATTCTTAAGCTAATGAAAAGATGGTTTGGCCAAACAAAAATTTGGGTAAGTGTGAGAGAGAAAACAAATAGCGCAATGACATTCTCTTAATACATATATTCGCTTAAAATTATTGATTATTCCTAATATCAGAGTCCAAATTTGTATTTTTTTTTTTTTTGTTTCAGAGGATGCAATTAGATAGATTTTACCCCTAAATATCTTAGGGGTAAAAATTTAATATAAGTAAATTTATTGAGATTCTAGGTTACAAATTAATTTTTAAATTTTATTAGTTCATTAAAATCTGACCCCTTCTTATACAAATGAGATTTAAACTTACATTATTGACACTCAAAATATTATTCAAATTTTTAGTTATATTGTTTATAACATTTTGACTAGATATTTTAACAGTTGCAGCACACTTATCCTTATCGAATTCAACTAATTTTCTGCTGCATACCAGACTAGTTTTCCATTCAAAATGTAATGTGCAATTGCTTTTAGAGTCCATAAATATTGGTTTCCCATGATAATTGTAAGGAAAAAAATGTTTATATTAGTCAATAATAATGTTAAATATGTCACCAATGAGTTAAGTATTATGGATTTGTTTTTATACTTCATTTTCAGAAATATCACATATAAATTTCATTGTAGTAGAATATTTAGTGTTTGGAAATTTTAATCTTGAATCAATACAACTATCTCCATATGTAAAAGACATTTCAACAGTTTCCTCCTCATTTGTTTTAAATGGTGTTAATTGATAACCAATATTCTAAAAAAAATAAACAATATACAAGTTAAAGAAAGCAAATAATTTATTGAACGACTGTTGTTTGCTTTAATATTAGAAAGAACTGATCTATTTTAAAACTTAAATATAAGGTAAAGTAACCTGTGTATGTATGTTGGTTTTTTTACAATACCTATTTAATTTTTAATTGTGTTATGAGTACTTTTAAATTGTAATATTTTACATGTACTCATAATTAGCTTAAAAATTTAAGAATCTAACATACACATATTTTTGTTTAACACTCAATTTGGCTAGAATAATTAATTTAAACACCATTTCAACTTTCGACATTAACCTTATTTTAATTATTTTGTTGTCTTGTTGTCTTGTCGTGAGGAAGGTAAAAACAATACTTGTCAAGACAGTTATACATTGATTGTATAGATTCTAACCAGCGTTTAAGGTTTAACGCGTGGTAATTTGACGGGCATTCCAACATAACAATTAACAGTTACAATTAAATCATAATAATCATAATAATAATACAAAAAAAAGACTATCCTGAGTGTGATCACAGTAATCCTAAGTCAGGCTAAGTATCCTAGCTTTAATTTATTATAAAGCTTATATTTAGTTTAAAAAAAAATATACATAATAATAATTTTTCTTAAAGTTTGATTAAAGGTTAATTCATTCTAATAAGGCTAACAACATAAAATAGGTTATAAATAAATGCAAATGTGCAAGGTATGTTGCAAGTTTGTAAGATGGAGCACGGATACAATACAGGGGCGTCATTTGGAGGTGCAGGGTGTACATTTGCACCAACTTTTTTTTAAAAAGCCTTCTTTGGCCTGCCAACAATAAATATAAGTGCCGATATACCTAAGTGTTTATATCATATATATTTTATATTTTTTCAGTATTAAAAAAAAAATGTATTGTACTAATGTTTAATTTTCAAGAATATTTGATATGGTTTTGTGGTCCCACAATATTATAATTGATAAAAACAATGTGAGGAAGGGTACCCATAAAATAAATTTCTGGTTTTATTAAGCTGGCTATATTATATATTTTGAGTATGCTGTATGCAGGGAGAAAAAAGTGTAGGTTAGGTTTGGTATTTTATTATAAAGATTAAAGGTGTTTTATACCCAAACATTTATTAACCAAGTGTAAATATCACTGTACACTGGTATCTACAATATAAAATAAATACATTAAAAGTACCTACACATATAGTTCGTCAAAAATAGAAACAATATTGTGATGTTTTCATACTAATATAAGTGACATATTAAATAAATTATATAAATTAATATTCTACAGTTTTTGTCCCCACTTGAACCCCCCCTAAAAAAAAAAGGTTTTTATGTGGCCTGGTAATGATTTTAATGGCCTGCAAACTTTTGGCACCAACAAAAAAAAGTTAAAATGACGCCCCTGAGACAACACATCAAAATAAGTCACTGAGACATCTTAAAAAAATTAAAACCTAACTTAAAAGCCATTCCAACCAAAACCAAACAATTTAAAAAAACAACTTACAAAACCGAAACTGTTATAATGTATGCTGGTTTTGGACCAGCTTATTCAGAATTTAAAATTACATAAAATTCAATTTGCTACACTAAAAAGTAAAATATATAATACAAACATATTTACATACAAATATATATTTTACAAATGTATAGGTAATATTTACTTAACAGAGATTTTTTTCTTACTTACATAATTTATATTATTGAGTTCCATTATTCCTCCAATACCTTCTGCTCCGGGTATACATATGTTAATATAATACTTTCTTTCATTAATATTAACTATATGAGTTCCTTTAATCGGTGTTAAATCATATAAACCCGCATTGCATTCCAACTATAATACATTAATAAAACATTTGTTAGTCCAATGTCTTACTTTATTTTGCATGATACAACTATCTTCCTAACAGAACTATAATTGATATATTTTTTATTATCTTGTAACTTTGAACTAGATACTTATTAGTTACTACTTTAAAATTATAGTAATATTGTAATTTATATGTATCTTTTTTTAATTATTTTTTGACACATTATAAATAAATAAAAAAATACAAACTTTTTCATCACACATCTCGGGATTGATACTGAGAACATTAATTTCACAATTATTTTTTGCAATTTTAGGTATTTGTAGCTTATACCCACAATAAAACATAAACCTTATTTGAACTGTTGTATTCCTTTTTTCATCACAAACTGTATTAGTGATATGATCAAAATACAATTTGTTTTGCAGAGTATATGCTATGTTCTGTTTATTGACAGACAAAATTATTTTTCGTCCAAGTGGAGAATTATTATTTAAACAAATTTCTGTAAAATATAATCATAATTCATAATCATTCAAAAATATGTTATAAATTGCTAATCATGTTCCACGATTTACCTGAATTATAATTAACATCATTATTGTTTTTGGGACAAATATATATGGTATAGTTTAATCCATCAATTTGTAGGTCAGTTTGCTTCAATGTACTATAATTGTTTATTATTTCTCTTTTTTTAATATGTTGATGATTAGGACACACCAATGGTGTGAACCATTGGAATATAAATTTATGATTTTCTTCGGCAGTTAATACTGGACCCTACAAAAAAAAAATAATTGAAATTTATGTCAGAATAATGATTTATAAATAATCCCTGAATTGAATGAATAAGATATTTTAATTTTTTTTAATATCATATAAATATCATACATGAGTGGATCATATTATATTTTGCTTATAATGTAATATACATTCATATTTACAATACTTACATTATTCTTATTTGAACATATAAATTCAATGACTGAAGAAACTTTGTGGTTATTATAAAAACCATTGATCATTTCTAATATAATTTTATTTCCCTTTTTTTGAGGGCTTTCGTTCACATCCCCAAGATTTTTATATCTAAAATAATATTTGTAAAATATAATATAAATACATTTACAGTATGTTAATTAATTTGAAAGTCGTCAGTAGCTCTAATTCAAAATGTAATTCACATATCTATTGAAATGCAGATTTTAATGTAATATTTGACTAATAGTAAACTTAACTAACTAAAAAACTAACTTAACTAACTAAAAAAATCTTTAGTCTCTAATTTTTTTATTGATTTTTAATATTTGAAAATATCCATTTTGTAGTTATTTATTAATAATATAGATATAAAAAAAAACAAATTTTAAAATCTGTAGGATTTTGATTGAAAGATGCAAATTATACTTTAAAAAACACAGTATGACATTATATAATTGTATGGTTTCACAATGATAACTAATGCTAATCCAATAAGTAATAAAGAACACACTACTCTTTCAAATTGTATGTAATATTTCTTAATATGTTTTTTTTATATTGTTCAATATATCCACCATGCACAAGTTAATTCTATAGGCCCAAGAGCTTGTGATGAAAAAAGCTATCATTAAAAAATGAGAGATATTTCAGTGACACATTAATCTTGTTACAAAGATCATGGGTCTATAAAATTGACATTTGCATAGCAGTTTATCATGGATATATTGAACAATATCAAAAAATAATAAAAATAAATATTACATCCAATTTCAAAGAGAAGTATGTGTTCTTTATTACTTACTGGATTAGTTGGTTATCAAAGTGTGCAAACCATACAATTTTACAAAATTATTCTGTATTTTGAAAAAAAAATTTGCATTCATTCAACCAACATTTTCATCCAAAGTTTTTTCATCCATATCATAAAAAAATAATTTAAAAAAAGGGTTTTTTAGAAAATCAAATTCAATATTTTAATATTTTTTTTTGTGACCTTGGTAAATGGTTTTAAAAAAGGCTTTATTATTCATATTATATTACATTACATTAAAAAAACTGCACTACAATACCTGCATCGATTTTGAATTAGAGCTACCAACTTTTCAATTACTCAACATACTATATAATTCTATTGATTTATTAAGTACATATACATAAATATTATAGCATTAAATCACTCTTACCGGTTGGAATATAATAAATTAGTATGGTCGACTAAACAGACTCCACTATTGAATTGACAGTTTACACCATTAATATCATTATTAATAACAGAATGACAAACATTTAAAATAATTGTTTTCTTTTGGTTAGTAATAATTTCATAATTACTGTTTGATTTAGTTAATTTACTTAGATCAAATATATTTCCCATTTGATCATCAACAGTACAATTATTAGTTTTTAACGGCTGAGTACACGCATATTTTGTACTTATGGTGAATTGAAAAGTACATTCTTCAAAGTCCTAGTAAACAAAAAGTAAAGTATTATTTTAAAACAAAATACAATTACTATTTGACTCAATTTAATACAATCAATATACTATATACCACTTTTACATAATAAAAATTAAAAACACTTTCTGTAGGTATGTCACCTTTACTTCTAATAAATTGTCAGCATGATTGTAAAAATAAAACTTTTATTTTCTGAAGATACTCCTTCTTAAATTTAATGTCTTATTTCAAGTAGTTTTACATACAGTCGAGTCTCGATAACTTGAATATCAAGATCAATACAAATAAAATTGACTTATGTATTTTTATAGTTATAGATCTCAAACACAACATAAAACAATTCAAGGAGCAAGGAAAAATATTTGAGTTACCTAGTAGAAATGTAATCTATTTTTAGATTAGTTTTACAATGGTGTTTATTCATATATATTTTTTTTTTTATCCTGTATACAAAATGTATACCAGAAGAAGTGCTTTGATTTCAATATATAGTATCTTATCTTTTAGAAAATTGGATCAAGATGGTACTTTAAAGATGTAATTTTTCGCTTTTCTCTATAGTTATTTAATGCTACAAGAAAACCCACCAAAAAGTTACAAATAACCCCTAAAATTGGGATTTTAATATTTCTAACGCTCTGTTTATCACCATAGAAACGAATGGAAATAAAAATAACAATTTTAGTTATATTATTGCAGTTTATAATATTAATTCAACTTACTTGCTATAATAAAAAAATAATAATAATTTTTCTATTAACATAGAAAAAGATGAGATCAAGAGAAGAAAAAAGTTAATTTAAATGTATTCTATTGTATGAGAGACAATGATAATTAATGAGCAGGTGTTGAAAGTTAAATTATGGCCCACTAGTGATGTAGGGTACTATATGGGCTGTTATTGAGCACCAATTTATAAAAGTAGTATGGTAGGAGGTTGTGGCCGGTGCCTAACCAGGACTATTTTACTATAACAGTGTGGCTAATCTTTAGAGATTGAATCCACAGCTGTGGGGGGATGTTTAGGATATTGTTTTATATCATGAGGTTTGGAATTCTGGAAGGTTTACCCATGTATCATTAAAAAAATATGCCCACAGCATTAGACACTATTTAACATTTTTTGATTTTTTGATAGTGTTTAGATTATTGTTTTGGAAGAGATAACGCCATAACAGGGTTTGACTGTATTTCCTATACTATTATGAAATATACCTACTGACCTCGTTAGACTTAGGTTATATTGTATATATAAATATATTCAATATTGTATTCAGGCGCGGATTCAGGGGGGGGGGGCTATGGGTGCTCGAGCAAACCCTATCGTCTGAGGCACTCTAAGCCACTAATAAAATACATTTGTATCCAAAATTCTAAAATAGAAAGATGTAACCATTTTTTTTTAGATTCTGAGCGGAGCGATGTGTGGATGATTTTATACATTTTTAAATTATTTTTTTTTGTTTCTGTCATCACCGTATTTGGGTCAGTACAACTGCTTCGATTTTTTTCAACAGTACATATCTCGATCAATGGAAAAGTGAATATAGTTGGTTCATTCAGAAGGTCAAAATTTAAAATTCAAATAGTTTTAAAAGCGCCTAGAATAACAAAATAAAAACTAAGGAAAAATAGGAATTTTTAAGCAATTCGGTTTTCAACAAGCTCAATTTTGGTTTTTGGTGTAACTCTAAAACAAATAACCGTGGATACATGAAATTTTCACTGAATGATTATATTAGCATTAAATTCTGTACACGATAAAATTCACAAGATCAAAATATTTTGACTTGTTTTGAGCTGTTTACGGAAATAATACATTTTCAGTTTTTTTTAGTTTTTTTTTCTATGATTGCCAATAAAATTTTATTTATTGGGTAAAAAAGCTTGAAAATTTAATACAAGGCTCTTAATATATTGTTACAATGACAATTGAAAAATATTAAATAAACAGTCACAAAATATCTACCAGAAAATCAAATTACATTTTTACATCATTGGATATTCTCTTGATTTCTCATGTAGGCATGTAGCGATTTTCTTATTTTGTTGTAATTCAAACACGAATAACTGTAGATACTTGAATTTTACACCATATAATAACTTATCAATTCCCTTACTTGATAAAATGTACAAAATATTTTGACCTGTTTTAAGCTGTTTACAGGCATTTAAAATTTTTTGGATTTTTTTTCAATTGTTAATATAATTTCATTTTTTGGGTCAAAAAGGGTCAACAATTAATACGAGGCTCCTGCTATATTTATATTTTTACTTTACTAGTTGAAAAATTTTTAAAATACATATAAGTAAAATTTTTTTAAAAACATTTAAAGTTTGAATTTTGACAAAATGTGTCTAATTTTGAGTTTTAAAATTATTTTGTAGTTAAAAATGTATAAAATGTTTAGCTTTCATAGCTAAGGATCGACAATTTAAAACCAAGTTCCATGTAAATATTTAAATAAATTACTTTATTCACAAAAATATCATTAAATATACTTAGTAATAATATTATAGCCTGACTGACTGTCTTCGCTCAGAATAGTTTTTCTTATACAGTGATATTGTATCATTGAATTCAAATTTAACACTATCCATTACAGACTACAGTGATCCAATTATAACCTACTATACAGCAGAAAGACACCCACTCTCCCACCTTTTTTTTGTGAGCTCCCCCTGTTAAAATCTTCTGGATCCTTGCCTGATTGTATTTATAGAAAATTAATGAATAAATTGCACAAGATAACATATAAATATACATAATATACATCTTAATATGTGAGCAATACTAACCTTTTTGTATTCAATCCAATTTGAATCTAAGTAATCACACACAAATCGAATAACAGTGTGACTATTAGGTCCCTGTCCATTATTAACACATTTTTCTCCCTGCATAGACATATAGATGGAACCATTATCAAACACTATCTGTTCAGTAAATAGCCCTATGTTCATTTCAGTTCCACCAGCTGACCAACATGCTGCTGAATCTATAATACCATTACATGGTTTTTGCAATGGGCCACAAATACTAAACCGAAATGATGCATTATCTTCAATATTCTTTTCAAACGTCTGATCTTTTAAATTGCTAAAATTGTACACAGTTTGAGAATACCATGGGTGTGTAACCATACACTGATCTTTTCTCTCAAACTTTAAAATAAAATAATATAATATTTAAATCATAGGTATACATTTTTTTAAATGTAGAATTATTAATTACCAATATTTCACATGCTTTAGGTGTTTTCCAATTAAATACATGGGTACATGAAGTGAAATTTGTTGTTTCATGTATGAGTTTAGTTTCACCAGAACAAGTTAAATTAATAACCGTTGACCACTTCAAAGAATTGCTACACTTATCTCCATCTGTCAACATTTTAAATATTATACATAATATTTTTTTTTTTTTGTTTTTTAATTAGTTTTATTACACAATCTGTAAATATATTATTTTTCACAATAAGTGTAAGTGTTGTAGATTAATAAAATAAAAATAAAAAATACAAATACAAATAAAGAGAAAAAGACAGATAATTTGAGCGAAGAAACCATCCAGTGATGGTACTTCTTGGAGTTGTGGATAGGTTTTATTCAGTCAGGAGGTCCCGACACCATTTTCGTTTTTAACGTCTTCCAGGGTCACCTGGAATGCTGAGGGTAGATAAGTTTGAGATTAGAGGATTGCGGTGGTTGGAGAGATTTGAGTGGAATCGTTTATACAGAGTTTTGGCTACGAGTTGAACTGTTGGAATAGAGAGGTCTTTATGGAGTGTATCGTTTGAGACGTAGAAAGGGGCTTTGGTAATTTGTCGAAGGCATTTAGATTGAAATATTTGAATTTTTTTTATATTAGATGGTTTGGCTGAATACATAATATAACACAGAATAATGATTGTATACCTAATTACACTAATGGTATCAAATGTTGTGATTTTTATAGTTTAAATTAACACCACTTTTTAGTATTGCAATGATATTTTTAATAACCTATAATTTTTGTTTCATAAGCTCATATTTTTATCAAATAATTAACTATTTTACCTGTATAATTCAATATTATTGAATTTCCATCATAGTAAGGACCAATTTGAGTTGACCCAATAGAAATTCCTTTACCTGAACCATCCACATAACAAGCTGAAGTTTTACCATCAACTATAAAAACAATTTAATATTTTTAAATGCATTTATTTCATAAGAATATTTTAATACATCACAGACAGATTGCATTTATTACACATTTAATAACCTGTACATGAAGTTGAAATTTGTCCATCATATTCGTTTAAATAACCACAAATATTTAAGTAAAAAATTCCACGATTGTTTTTATTAATGATCTTCCAATTGTCTACTCGCTTGTGTAAAGGTTTTAAATTGAAACGAGCTGTATATTTTGAAATCACCTATAAAAGGTATAGTAATAATGTAATAATTTATACTTTTGAAAATACTGAGGTAATATTTTCATTAATACTCAATACAATCAAATAATTATGCCAATATACAACCAACTTAGTGATTTGCTGTTTTCACAACACTCAACTTGGATAAAACAGACGTATTCATTTTAACTAATTATATTATGTTTAATATTATTTATAATTTTGATTTAAAATGTGCATGTAAATGTTGACTACATTTATAATTGTATTCTACTTTATTAGAAATATGTGATTATAATATATTATACAAAAATTCAAAAAATATAAGGCTAGTAAAATCAAGTAGGTACACTGTAAGTCTGTAAACAATAAAAGAAATCAAAAGAAATTTAAAATTAAAAATACACTTACTTCACATAATATCATTCTTGGTATACAAACAGCTGATGTAGCTACTTCAAAATATGCAATATTTGGGGAAATTGTTTTATCTTGGTAATTTTCTTCATTTAAAAATTTTGGTTTTGTTTTTCCAGGTGCTATATTTTCATCACACTTAAAAATGAATTCAATTCTCCTGCCTCCTATTATATCAAATTGTTTTAATTAAAAATATTAAATTTCATTACAATTTATTTTGCTATACAAACTTTTTTTTTTAGTAGCTTTTTCATGTTGGATCAATTTTAAGCTTTTACTATCTGTATCATACAGAAGTTGATCGTTTGCATATTTTCCAACGGCATACACTTTAGGATTTCTGATATCAGTTATATCACATATTGTTGTGATATTACCACCACATTTGTTGTTCTCGGTAAGACGGCCACAGATATTGAGCTCAAATTGACGATTTTGATTTTCAACCAAATAGTTAAGGGTTAAACGTCGTAAAGCATTCAAATTAAATCTTGAAAAACAAATATTATTTATATATATATTAGCTAATATAAAAGCAATTTTTTTTTTTTTTGTATATAAATGGTGAAAAATTTTTTACAAAAATGTCATACAATAGGAATCAACAATAGCAATACTAATGTCTAATTCATTATGTTTTCTTGTACCTATTACAAATATAGATAATATTATAGTATATGTACATGACATCAATTATCAAATAGAGAATAACAATTTGTACATACATTTTCAACTACAGTTTTATCATCTGCAGTCTGCACCAATAATTTAAATAACATTAATATGTTATCATTATACTAAAATTTGAATTTTAACTGTGAAATTTTAATTGGGAAAAAAATTTGTTATTATAATTGATAATTTCAATAAATCAAAATTCAAAAAAAGTAATTAACTCTTTTTTACATATTACAAAAATTATGAAATCGAGTGTAACCTTTTCAATACATACTATTCTATTCTTTTACTATTATAATATTGTCATTTAACGGTAACCGTATAATTTTAGGAAAAGCTTGGCTCGCATTATTTTAAACTTCAATAATTAGATCATATAAATCTCAATTTAAATTTTTAAAAAAATGTATGTAGCATAGCTGAGCCAGGCTGCAGAGCATAAATAGTGTAGCTGTGGAAAGGTTAAATATTATATAAATTATTTTTTTTTTATATAAATGTATATTAAAAAAATAAATATTTACCTACCTATTTAAAACAATGAAAAATATAATGTTTAAGATCTATTTAATATTAATTTTTAGATTTTCTTATGAGATTTTAAAATTCAAATAATAAGTTAAGAGCTCTTGACTTAATAATAATATTTTGATATGTAGAAATGTTTCACTAACAATTTCCACATTTGTTTTATGTAACATTTAATAGATAACTTCAATATTTTAGTTTGCACAATATCTAGCAAAAATATTTGTTAGGTAGGTATATGTATAGTAATATATTTTTATATATTTCATAATATATATTTGTTTCATACATTTTTATCATAATAATAATATTATTGTTTTACTTATTACAGTAGAAACTGAACAGTCATGCAAATATTTAAAAAAAATATATTATTAAATTAGTTATTTGAAAGTTATAAATGGTTTCTTATGTTTGAAATAAAATATTTACTTAAAATTTATATGCGGTATTGTAACTTTACAAACATTTCTTATATCCAAATCATCTACTGGGCAACCAACTGCAGACTCCAATTCTATAACATACTTGCAATGATTTACATTTACCTTAAAATCCATTTTATTTTCATTCATCTGAAATTAAATTTAAATATCAAATGTTATAAATTTAATAAATACAATATAATATGCTTTATCATGGCTTCAGCCAAATGTATAAATTAAGAGGACATTGCATCCGCATGTGTTGTCTCCGTCTTACACATGTACGACATAGCAAATTTTTGTTCGCTTGTTTCAATAGGTTACTGTCAGTTTTGATATTAAAGTGAATTGACCTATTATCAAACTTTAAAGTAACAACATTATCTATGTTTTCTAGTTGGTTTTTTACAATATTTAAACTTTTAAGTGAGTTATGAGTATCTAAACATAAAATTCTCATAATTCACCAGGTTAACCTGGGATTATGGAAAACCGTTTTTAATGATTCAAGTGATACACAGTTATACTTATACAGTTATAGTTGGCAAGTTGTTAGTGGAGTAAATTAGTACTTAGTGGTTGGTGGTTAAGACTCAAGGGGGCTCCAGTCGGTTTTGTCTAAAGTCAAAACTAATGTAGATTTGACCAATCTAAACATAAATATTGTTTATTTTTATATTTTTAAATATATTTAAATTCCGAGTCATAAATTAAATCTTAAGGGGGCTGCAGGCGATGAAAAAAAAGGGTTTTTAGACAAAAAAAAGCCAGACAAAACTAAAACTATATATTTCTGTGCATTATATTGGGCTCACTGCCCGTAATAAATAAATAATAATAATAATAAAAGAATTTGGTTTGATGGATTTCAATTTTTAAAACTGATTTTCTCATTGATTACCAAGTATACTAGGATTCCATCAGGACGATTTTGAATATCTATTTTTTTTCAGCTGTAATATTCATGAATAAAAAATGATATTTTTGTATTTATATTAACACATTAATCCATATTATGACAATAACAATATTATAATTGGAAAATTAAAAATTGCCTCGATGGAAATCTAGTAACTTGTTGATCAATCATAATTCGTTTTCAAAATCCGTCAAACCAAATTCCTCTAGTTTTGTCTGTCACTTTTTTTTCATCAACTGGAGCCCCCTTAATTGTATTTAGATAGTGGGACTTTTCCAAAGTCCTAAACCGGAAACCAGTATAGAAATCACATTATGGAATCCCAAACTTTAAACTGCTAAAAATAAAATATTATTGACAAAAATATGTTTGCAAACAATTAGGTACACATAATTCAGAATCAATTTTTATTTTGAACAAAATATTGTGTTAATACTATATTTAAAGTTAAAGGTTATGTAAAATATTTTGATACCTAACTTAATGGTTTTTGTTGAACTTTTTAATTAAGTACTCAAAGTCAGATATATGAAATATAACCCGACTATGAGGTAGATGGATAGGTAACCGGAACTGTATAAACTTAAAAACTTAAACCTACATTAGTTAGGTAACTGAGATTTAAATTTCAAGAATATATAATAGTATAAATATATAAAACCCAACAAATTACACATTTTCATAGTCCATGTAATTAAGCAATATAACTTTAGGATATAGTAGTATAAAATAATATATTTATTTAAATCCTAAAGCTTACATGTTTATTGCAAGTAAACGTTAGATCTGTCGAATATTTTAGATTTTTTTCACAAATAGTATTTCCTTCCAAAGACAAAACCAGTTGATCTTTAACATCTAATTTCACATCTGAAAATAAAAATTTTCGCTTATAAACATAATATTATGATACTCAGATTTTCATTACATTATAATAAATTATATTCCATCAACAAACAACAATTTCCTTCAATGACTGAAAACTTATTTAAATAGGTACCTTTAATTTTGGATCCAATATCTGCTTTAGTGCTTTTGTATTTAACTAAGCATATTTTGGACTTAATTCCGTCGCAAGTTGATATATGTTCATTGCTTTTACATAACTTTATATTTAAGTAAACATCATTAGACTTGTTGAAATTCACTTTTTCAAGTTCTTCGAAACTTAAAAATAAAAAAATAAAATATGAAAATGAAATATGAATACAGACAACAGGGTAATATTCTTTCAACTACTGGTTAACACTCTTTATCTTAAAAAAAAATATTTTTTTATTATAAAAATTATTATTTTTTTTTATTTTATAATTTTTATCTACCCAGATTGAAGTTGTTACAAAACAACATAAAAATATATGAATCCCCTAATAAATAACTCCAGGGCCCAGAAATTTAGACCAGAAACGTGAAAAAATAACACTAAAATAAAAATGATGTGTACCCAACACCACATCATATTTAAGAGATTTCAATAACAGACTATTTTAAGCTTCGATAAAAATAGGAAAGTAAGAATAAAAATGAATACATAAAATATAATGTCAATGCCAAATCAATTAAAAATAGCACCTCTATGGCAATTTTTCAACAGTTTCATACTGATTATTCAAAAAAATAATGGCCTTTTATACAAATTTTTATACATGGGAATTGGGAGAACGATTGGGAACATAAGTTTAGGTAGAAATTTTTTCAGACACCAAAAATGAGTACAACGTGTGGATACATCATATTTTTTAAATAATACCACGTTTGTGTATCAATATGTTTAAGTACACATTTTCATATTTTACTTTTTAGAGTCCATTAGTGTTCCCCAGGAAACACCACGAGGAGGTTTACACTTAATTGTTTCCCAATTATTTTTTTTTTTTTGCAACTTATGAAAAAATTTTTTTAATATTAGGTACATATAATAATATTATATTAAATCATTACAAAAAATCTAAAATCAAAAATCATAGCCAGTACCATATTTTTTATTTTATTTACTGCTATATTATTTATCATTGAATAAAAATTTTTTTCCGACAAAATGTGAACCGATATCGTATAAATATTTTATAATATCATTGTCAAGATTAAATTCCTCGTTAAATTTATTAAATTTCTATTAACTGTGTTCAACATTTGATATCTTATGTAGCATAGCATAACTGCAATGTAACATAACTACTGTATTACGTTTCAGTTACGTTTAGTACCTAGTCACAACAAAATATTTTGCCTTTGTCTTTATTTATACTAAATTCACTACATTTAAAATATTATCAATTATAATTTATAACGCACTTTTTACCACAACGGGTTTCAACAATTTCAGTAATAATCAAACTGAGATGGGTACTGAGTGATTGAATGAATAAAGAATCTGTTAACTGTTTATTGTTTAGTCATATATACTAAATTGGTGCAGGTGTAAATAGTGTAATAAAGATTATAGTCTTATGAATATTATGTTTACCCAATTAACCAAATGATTTACCCTAAACTAACTAAGCATAATATATATAGTGGGTCTATAGGTAGTGTAGAATTTTTTATATTATCAAAATCGTTAAAATAATAGATACAAATATTGAAATATACAATGACATACCTACATTTAGTTTGATTTTACATTATACATTTATATCATAATTCATAAAGTAAATAAAGTCTAAAGTGAGATGAACTTCTTCGATTTTATAATAATTGTATTATTATTAAACAATCCCAACATTTAGTTTTTTTAGTCGAAAATAATTGTGGTTTTTTTTTCGTAAGCCTTTAAGAGGACGTGATACCCGCATGTTTGTCTCTGTCTTACAAGTGCGTAACATGGCAAATTGTACGCCCAGCAGAACATAATATTATAGAGCTCGGTTAGTTTAAAAATTAGAGTGAATTGACCTCTTATAACATCTAAAGGTAAGATTATTATTTACGCAACCTCGTGGGCTTTTTATTATATTTCATTTTTAAAGCGAGTAATGAGTATTTTAGAATAGTAAATTGTTTGTACCTACATGTTAAATTACTCATAAACTCGATTTAAAATGAAAATATAATAAAAAGCCCATGACTCATGAGGTTGGGTGGATAATAATGTTTCCTTAAGATTTTATAAGAGGTAAATTCCCTCTAATTTTTAAATTGATTGAGCTACACCTACACGTGTTCTGCTGAGCGTAAAATTTAGTATGTTATGGCATATCAGTTATGCTGTTATGCACTTGTAAGACGGAGACAACACGACGTCATTCCGGTGTCACGTAAAATCGTTAAATTAAATAGGTAAAATAAAATTAATAGGTATTACGTACAACCAAATATTTTACGGCCGTCAGTCTGAAAAGCACAACTGGTATAGCCGTATAGGTACCACGAATTACAATATTCGTGATGGCCGCTAATTATAATAAATGTATAAAAATATAAATACAATCGCCGATTTCCAACAATAATCGTTACATAATAATATTTTATAACTCGACGAAATTAGATATTGGTGGTAATGACGTAATGACGTGGTATTGACTCAAAAATGAATAACATTTGTCAATAATATAACAATAATATAATATTAATATAAAATATAAATATACACTATTATAAAAATGTATTATTAATTAAAATATAACTCATCCATTACAGTGACCCACTAGCCCACCATTTTTTTCTCTAAATTTTGAACATTTTTAAATGGGATTATATTTTACAAGGGTTTTTTTTCTAGAGTAATTTTTTTAACGTTATAATTATTTACTTATTTGAATGAAAATTTAAAAAAATATAAGATATTATAATATATTGGCATATTGGTATCTATTATAATTTAAGATTTATGTCATAAACTTAGGTATAACATTATTAACGTTCAAAAAAGTAAAAGTAAAAAAATATTTTGCTGAGACAAAAATTAAAATTCTGTAAAAACTATTTTCAAAATTAATTTTTTTTAGGAATAAAAAGTGTTAACTAGGTAATAAAAGAATCACCTTGTACATTATGTCAATAATAATATTTATGTTTACCGATTCAAATCAAATTGAATATCTTTTCCGTTGTGTTTCAGATTGAAAACACAATCTTCACAATGTATGACGGCGGCAAAAGCCGCAACTATTAGACACAAGTTATACAACACCATACTATATAGAAAACAAATAAAAACAACCGAATGTTATTAATAAATAATAATGATTAATGGCATATATTGCCCGATATTGATCGTATACCATAATGATTAACAAAATAGGCATATTATTATTTAAATGTGCAAGTCGGGATTAATTTTCGAATTTTTCCGAATTTCCTTTTCTACAGCCGATGTCCGAACACAGAGTCCTATACTTTATTATTTAATACTAATAGTTAATTCAGTTGACCGCTACTTTTAAAAATATTATGATAGTCATTCACGCTTCTCTGCACAGCGGTCTTCAATACCTTTCCACACGCGTTCAACCACGCATAGACAATAGTTTTCAAGAAACTGCTGTGATCAGTGGCGTAGCCAGGATTTCGAAATGGGGGGGTTCACAGTTTTCGTATAATAGTAATACTTTTATCAGGGGAAAAAATATCAGGGGGGTGGTTACGCCACTGGCTGTGATCGATGTATTATCTAAACATGTAATGGCAATACCTTAGAAGAAGCGACAACACCAGTGACAAACATGCATAACATAATTTGTAAAAATAAAATAACGAAAAAAACGCACTAGCGTTCTCTTTCTTTATATAATGCGCTATGCGCACAACGGACGCGGTGCACCAGACTATAAATTATAATACTGTAAAATTCTGAACTGTTGACAAATGTGACTACGCAAGCAGTACGTTCGTCGTTCAAACCTACCTTAGAAGAAGCGACAACACCAGTGACAAACATGCATAACATAATTTGTAAAAATAAAATAACGAAAAAAACGCACTAGCGTTCTCTTTCTTTATAATGCGCACAACGGACGCGGTGCACCAGACTATAAATATTATAATACTGCAAGATTCTGAACTGTTGACAAATATGACTACGCAGTATTGTTCTATGGCAGTTGTACGTTCGTCGTTCAAAAGTTGACTGAGGGCTGTGAACCGGGAGTATTCGTGACTCGTGACTCGTGAGACCGGCTGACTCAGCCATAGAAAAGTAATAGCCTTCTGCCCAGTAACTCTTCGACACACAGCTAAACAACTGCAGTAGCAGTTATCACGCCGCACGGTAAGTATAATTAGGATTTAGGACACTATAGAGTATAGAGTATAGATACCGGGTACGCTACTCCGCCATTTTGCGATTAATAATTTTATGTGAATTTGAATTTCTCCCTCTTTATTTCATCATTTTATCATTGATAAATGAGTCGCATAATGGTGGCATAGCATACCCATTATATGTAGAGCCTATGTAGAGTTCTATGGTATAAGCAAATACTATACTATTTTGGTTTAAACAACATGGTGTCATGGTATGATCTTTCATTCTTTCGTAGGCGCGTGACGTAAATATTACCATTATTGATAATATGGGTAGACGCGCGAAGTATTGAGCTGACTCAAACCAAAACCGGTTACGATGACATTGTTTATATTTGTTATTGCTTATTATTATAATGTTATGAATTTATGATGCACTTCAACAACACTGCAGTCACTATAGTAAGGGAATAGTCTAGACCAAAATATTATGCTCGAATGCCTGCACTAAACTCTTTACATTTTTACTTTTTACTTTTTACCAAACGGCGAACAGTGCAACATGAGTGTTCCGTTTTTACTTAATCTTTATGACTGTACTATTAATTATTTAATATAATCTGTGGTGTTTCACTAACATGATGTGTCTACATTGCTACCAATGGACAATGGTAGTTGGTACTGACTTATCGAGGCGACGAAAAAACTATTAAACATGGTTGTTTGTACAATATTTTAAAATTGGTATTGTAAACTATTGTTCTGTGTTTATACTGCGCTCGGCGCAGCATAAATAATATGCATAACTGCATAAGCCATAAATGCATAATACCATAATGTAGGATCTAGCCATCTAGGAACGGGTTACGTGCCTGTACTCTGTCCACGGCTATATATATTATCTGTTGGCTGTTGCTATAATAATTTTTCTATTCTAATATAGCCATAGATAAGTGTTAAGGTGCTCACACACTGCTGCGGTAGACGGTACGGTAACGATACGGTAATCAATATTTTATTTGTGCGGTATTCTTTACCGTCGGAGCTTGCACACTGATCCGGTAACGATATGAGTTACCGCCGCAGTGGTGTATTGGTACGGATACGCGGGTGGCGGGTATACGCCGTATACCCATCAGAAGATTTTTGATTTTCGGCGTATACCCAATGTAAAATCTTATTTTACGGGTATACGTTTCCAAAATAACCAGAAAACCAAATAAGATTTAAAATTTATTTAATAGTTCATATAGGAAAAAACGTTATTCGTTATTATGTATTAATGAATTATTTATCAATTGAAGTAGGTATTGAATATAAGTTATAAAACAATATGCGTTGTGTTTAATGTATTTTAAGGCTTTAAGTTCAATTTAGTAAACCCAATATTGAATACAAAAAATCTTTGTGGAAAATTCTATAGATTGTACCTATAATAATAATGTTATTATATTATTTTAATTTTTTTGACATTTGAGTTGATTTTGTTTTATTTTCTATTGTTACATCATAAAAAAATTAATAAAATAATGTTAAAATTATGTACTAATTGAACTGCAATAACGTTATATAATATATACGATGATATAATTTGATCGTTTAGGTTACATACTTATTGGTATTATATTGGTGCGTATACGTATACCCCATAAATATAATATATTTACCAATACACCACTGGTTACCGCAGGCGCGTAGCTAGAAATTTCAAAGGGGGGGTGTTATTCAAACTTAAGAGGACGCTAAGACGCGTGTCTTGTCTCTGTCTTACACACGCACGACATAACAAATTGTCGTTCACTATTTTCAATAGTGAGCTGTTAGTTTTGATACTAGAGTGAATCGACATATTATCAAACTTTTAGGTAAGAACATTATCTGGGTCTTAGCTTGGGCGATTTTTTGATACTTTCACTTTTGAGAAAAATAAGTGTATGGAAATATTAAAAATTAAAAATGCTCATATCTCGCTTGAAAATTATTTATTATACAAACGTATTACAACTTACCAGTGAATAGATAATATAGTTTAGAATAATAGTTCTCTTATATAATTTTATTATCAATAAAAAAAAATGAATACATTTTTAAATTAACTTAATGTGTCGACTTTTTGAGGCTAGTGTATCTATTATTTCGTCTGTGGTTACGACTCAATCTCGATGAATATTTATAACAGCTAAGCCATTCAAGCGATTTTCACCAGTTGTATTTCTTAGATATGTTTTCAAGCGTCTTAATGAGGAAAAAGACGTTTCACTGCTTGCAGTTGTTACAGGTAAAGTAATCAATACTTGTAAAAGTCGATAAACAGTAGAAAATATGTCTTCGTTGCTGTCAAAGAAGGCTTCGGTAGCATTTTTAGGATTTTTATTTTTTATATGTTCATACCATATTGCAAACTCACCAATTGCAGATATTTCATCAGCTTCAATATCTGAAGAATATGTCTTAAGAAGTTCTTTAAATTCGGTCTCATTTTTTTCATTTGCATTTATTAAACAAGTAAATTGTTTTAATAGTGATTTATGGTTCAAAAATCTGTCATTTAGTTGCTCACAGAAATGATCCAAAAAAGGTACAAAAATCAAAATCCTAAAATAGACTTCCGGTGATTCTGTTGAAATGCTAAAACGATTTGTTCGGTTTATAGCTAGTCGAGGTATTGAAGTTGTAATCCCCAATGATAGTTGATACCATAGAGTAACACTCTAATGATGAAGTTGTAAATACTCTGCATTAAAAGATATCTTGTATCGTACATGAAACGAGTCAACGATAAACTGACACAGAATGGTCTAAAATAATAATTATCTAATTCCGTGTGCCCGTGTCCCGGTTTAAATTATAAAACATAGTACACCACGGTTGAGGGGGGGTGTTATTACACCTGTAACACCCCCCCTGGCTACGCGCCTGGGTTACCGGATGGTAAAATATCGTACCGGAACGTTTTTCGTTACAACTAGCACACACTGCTGCGGTAATGCGGTACGATATATCTGACACACATATAAGAAATTTTGAGGTTTATACCCTCTCAATTTATTTTCAAAAATATTTTTTTTCCGACAGCTATGTAAAATTAATATGAATATTTTTGTTATAAACCCTTCCCTTCCCACAATACGATAATTTCTCTGTAAATAAGCCTATAATACAAGTCTTAATATATGTGTAGGTACCTAATGTCTTAATTTTCTTATTATTAATTATAAAGAAACTCTATATCAAAAAATTATAATAAATTAATAATATACGTACTATACGTTAATCAAAATGCTTTTACTTAAAGCTAAATTAAAAAGTAATTATATAACTGAGTTAAGTTCATATTTTTTCAGGTGTTAACTTTAAACTTAAGATTGAAGTATAATGTTTATTAAATCTTAAATTATAGCTTTCTAAATGTTGACTTGACTTAACTTAACTAACTAAAGGTAATTTTTGCCCACATTTGCAGAATGGGAGTATAGGAGTATAGGTATTTGATAAAAAACTTATTATTAATATTAATTATTATTATATACCTACTGTACTTTTAATACTTAATTTAAATATTAATAATATAATTATATTACCTTAAGGTAGTACGTATAACATATATCACTTAATGCCATAATGGTAATATAGTTGTACAACTAAACAGCTTCATATTATGTATGTCATAAATTCATAATTATTACAAAATAGATAAACATTATTGTTATTAATATTTATCGGCCCGGTAGACGGTAATTATCGTGCATGCAACGTTAAAAAAATATCGGAGCACGTACGATATTTTTTACCGTACCGACGATTTATCGCAGCAATGTGCGCTCTACATTTAATTACATTCGTTTAGTTTTAAACTTTACTGCACAAAGATTATCGGCGCGCCTACCGTTCACCGATCCGATAATATCGTACCAATGCGGTTTGCCTCATAAAAACTATGAGCTCAATTTT